ATTCTGATGAAATGAATGTTAGATCTTCTGTATTTTCCCACAGTTCTCTGAGGCTCTGTTCACTCCTTCTGGGTCCAGGACGCTAGCCTGGTGCATTCCTCTCATGGCAGTGGCAGAAGTGGAAGAGCAAGCCCTGGTGCACAAGCCCATGTCAATACCATGTTTGTGACACATTTGCTCATGTCCCACCAATGGAAGCAAGTCACATGACTAGACTGGATTCAGTCATGATGGTAACAGCAGGACAATACGCCCCATCCACAGCAGGAGGCCACTACAAAGGTACACAGCAGACAGCACTGATACAGGAGTGGGTAAGGAATGGGTCCAATGCTGCGATCTGAACAACAGGACAATATGCCCCAGCCACAGTGGGAGGCCACTACAAAGGTACACAGCAGACAGCACTGATACAGGAGTGGGTAAGGAATGGGTCCAATGCTGCAATCTAACACCACAGGAAATCTGGTTGTCTACCCTTTGATGGCTTTTAAGATTGTCTCCTCTACTGAACTTTCATAGATCCAGTAAAATCTGTCGATACATGTATTTATTTTTCTCTCTTCTGGTCTGTATTGAGGGCATATTTTCCAGTTAAAAATGCATGCCTGGGGCTTCCCTGGTGGCACAGTGGTTGAGAGTCCGCCTGCCAATGCAGGGGGCACGGGTTTGTGCCCCGGTCCGGGAAGATCCCACATGCTGTGGAGTGGCTGGGCCTGTGAGCCATGGCCACTGAGCCTGCGCGTCCGGAGCCTGTGCTCCGCGACGGGAGAGGCCGCAACGATGAGAGGCCCGCGTACCGCAAAAAATAAAGCATGTCTTCCTTTAGTTTTAGAAAATTCCCAGAAATTATATTTTCCAGTACTATTTCTCTACCATTTCCTCCATTTTCTTCTTCTAGAATTCATGATATATGAATGTAGGAAACTTCCATTTCTCCTAACTATGCTTTAATATTCGTTACCTTCCTGTCCCTCTGTCTATAGTTTACACTATCCACTGCACTTTATATTTCAATGATTTTTTTTTCTATATCCATGTATCTTTATACTAATAATATTTTTCTTTAAACTGACTTACTCCGGGACAAAGAAAACTAAAGTCTATCTGGTCATTGACACTACAGATATGTCTGCTACTTACACTTGCCTTCTAAAACATTAAAATAATGTACCAATTAAAATTTAAATGTTTGCTCAGATTTCACTTAAAATTATCTGAATATAAGTATATGACCACTATGAAACCTACTGCTTTAGATAAACTCAGCCCTGGTGCACTTATCTAAAGAGAGAGAGCCAGTGAGACCCTAGATCTCATTGCCACAAGCTGCTAATGACTGACTCAATTACAACACACATCTACATACAAGAATAAACTTGAATACTGAGTTGCTTTCCTTTCTTTAAAAAAATAAATATAAGACCAACTTCATGTAGAAGATGCAATATATTCAAGGGAACTACTGGCATTATTGGCACTGAAGGGGACACTGTATCCAGGAACAATGAGAAACTGATTTCAAGTTAAACCAAAAGAATTTTTAAATAGGGATTATCAGTATTATATAGCTATAAGATAATGCACGTCTTAGAAAAATTTAGCCAAAGGATTCTCAATGAATTCTGAAAAAACCAGTCTTGCTGCTTTTTTGAAGTTGAATAAAAATTTAAAAGTGAATCTGCTGTAACCATTTTCAGATATTATTTTATCTACTATTTCTAAACAGAAATCCAGTGTTAATGTTTATTACCTTTGGCAACTCCCATTCTGACCGAGATCCATCTGCACTGTAGTAATATTGTCTACCTTGATCGTCAACATGCTTGAGCCACTATAAAGACAAAACAGGTGTTATATTTTAAATGTACATAAAACTGAGTTTAAGCCTATACAACCAGAGATATTAGATGACATTCTCATGAATTTTATTCTACTTGCTCAAGACCATTGCAAAAGAAATATAACAAACCTATACTAATAGACTTGCATTTTAAGTTTGGTAAAAATAAGTAAACTAGGCACTTCCCTGGTGGTGCAGTGGTTAGAAGCCCGCCTGCCAATGCAGGGGACACGGGGTCAAGCCCTGGCCCAGGAAGATCCCACATGCTGTGGAGCAACTAAGCCTGCATACCACAACTAACTGAGTCTGCGCTCTAGAGCCCATGTGTCACAACTACTGAAGCCCGCACGCCTAGAGCCCAGGCTCCGCAACAAGAGAAGCCACCGCAATGAGAAGCCTGAGCACCGCAACACAGAGTAGTCCCCGCTCGCCACTACTAGAGAAAGCCCGCATGCAGCAACGAAGACCGAATGTAGCCAAAAGTAATTAATTAATTTTTTAAAAAAGCATATCTCCATTTATTCCCAAGGGTCTTATTCTTTAAACTAACACAACAACCTATTACCTTCTCTGATGATAAACACATAAAATTTCAAAATGCATTCTCAAACTAGCTGATGAATCATAAAATACTAGATTCATGGTTTTTGTTTTATGGAACTTGGTTATAACAGAAAAAGGAGTGTAGGAAGTGAGGTGGTATGTCATAACAGCATGTTGAGAAAACTATTCCCAAAAAACTATTCCCCAAGAAAAACACGGAGAAATATGTTTACTAAAGAAGTGTAAGCAGAATGACACCCAGTGGGTCTACTCTTCAAAGGGTCTGTCTTAAACAGGTTGACACCGCAAACAGTACTGTAACTGGAAGCAGTTTAAAACCATGAATAAGCAGTTGCACTGAGTTTTCATACTGTCAGTTGACGTGAGTACAGAATTACAAGAAAATGTTTTCATGAGTTTTAAAAGTACTAAAGAAGCTTCGGTACATAATGATTTTATGAGAGCAATCTGCCAAAGAAAAACTAGATGAGAGAAAAAGAAAGCACCTTTTCATTAGTACAGTCACCGGTATACAAGGTATGCCCATGTTCATCCAGCTCTTCCGGCCAGGCCCTCGGAAGAGAGCCACGCTGACTACCCGACCGGCTGTAAGAAGCGCTGTGGTAGCTTTCTTCTGGTGAAAGACGCTACAGAGAGTCAGAAACATAAGCATGCTTCTTCTTTGACTTTACCTGGCTATACATACTAATATATCTTGAATATACTTAAATATTTAGTTTTCAAAACAAACTGTGCAGTCTTTTTAATGGTACACTGTAAGTGGTAAGGAGAACTTAGTAAGTTATTTTATCGCAGTAATGCAAGCCTGGAAAAATTTACTATAATGAAATTGAGAACAGTGTTTTCAGACTGAGAGATAAAATGCTACCTTCTATTTAATGCTGCTTTTGAACTGAAATCAGGTTAAAAAATGACAGGGGTGCGTGTGTGTGTACACACATCTATGTGTAAGCAAAGCAGGAGGTGAGGGAACTTCATTAGACTGAGATTCTTGAAACTGCTCACCTATTTATTTCAAGTTCTTAGCCAAATGCCCTGCAAAAAGTGCTAAATGTATGTTGAACTATTTTTTTAAAGCGTGTGGGATGGAGATGGGGGGAGAAAAGACACCAGCTTTGTAACACTGTATTTTATGTTCTAATTTATTGTCAAGTTTTCCTAACTCACTCAACCAAATGCTTCTTAAAACTATTCAAAACTACACTTTGAAAGAAGAAAAAATAATATTGAGAAAATACAAACACAATACAGGAAGATTAAGAAATTCAGTATGGGGCTTCCCTGGTGGCGCAGTGGTTGAGAGTCCACCTGCCGATGCAGGGGATGTGGGTTCATGCCCTGGGCCAGGAAGATCCCACATGCCACAGAGCGGCTGGGCCCGTGAGTCATGGCCACCGGGCCTGCGCATGCGGAGGAGCCTGTGCTCCACAACGGGAGAGGCCACAACAGTGAGAAGTCCGCATACGGGGGGGAAAAAAAAAAAAGAAAGAAATTCAGTATGTAATATTTACTAGGCTAACTCTAATGTGCAAATGACCCTTCCAGGGTCACGTTCAGGTAAAATATCTTCTACAATTAAATCTACTCAATCAGACTGGATTTTCTACCATAATTTGGTCTGAAACACTAAGATGTGTAGATTCTCAATGCTGTAGAAGTAATATACGTAAACATCCTAATGTTAGTAATATGTTCACAAAAACTGACAAAGACAACAGAAGTCTTACGTAGAGTGAGCTATATATGTTTTGTAACAGTAATGTTTTTAAAAAATGAAAAACCTAACTCAAAAATCAGGATTTATTTTAATTTAATTGAGACCACTTAAAATGTAAGCTCATATAGGAGAGGTACAATAAAATCTTTTAGAACCAGAGTAAAAGAAGGCAATCTGTACAGGAAAATATTATTCAACCATCAAAAAAACAAAAAAGCAGGAGGGCTTCCCTGGTGGCGCAGTGGTTAAGAATCTTCCTGCCAATGCTGGGGACACGGGTTTGATCCCTGGTCCGGGAAGATCCCACATGCCACGGAACAACTGAGTCTGTGTGCCACAACTACTGAGCCTGCGCTCTAGAGCCTGCGAGCCACAACTACTGAGCCTGCACTCTAGAGCCCGTGAGCCACAACTACTGAAGTCCGCGTGCCTAGAGCCCGTGCTCCGCAACAAGAGAAGCCACCGCAGTGAGAAGCCCGCGCTCCGCAACGAAGAGTAGCCCCTGCTCGCCGCAACTAGAGAAAGCCCGCGCACAGCAATGAAGACCCAACATAGCCAAATAAATAAATAAATTTATTTTAAAAAAAGAAGAAGAAGAAGAATCCAGAAAGGTAAGTAGAATAAAAAGGCAGCTTTTCTCCTTGATGGCATTTGCCAAATCCTGAACTAGAACATTAGTTTTCAAGGCCATGCAGAAGTGCTGGGGAACAGGACTTGAACAACATAAGGCAGTGAGTCCCACAAGAAAGAAAGGGGACCCCAAAGAATTATACCTGCAGTTTATGGGGTGAATGAGAAACAAATCTTGGCCCTTTATTCCATGCTAGGAAAATCACAGGACTCATCAGGGGAAACTGGGGAAGAACGCAACAAGCCACTCTTCATGAAATCCAAAATGACTACTACCTAGGTGGACTGTGAAAATGCAAACTGAAAATTTAGTTTCAAATGTTCACAGCATACTAGTTTCCCCAGGCACCTGGCAGAAACAAAAGCAAATCCTCTCTGCAGGAACAAACTTTCAACCCTAGCATTAAACTTGCTATATGTGATTTTCCAAGTATAATCTCACATTAAAACACACACACAGGGCTTTCCTGGTGGCGCAGTGGTTGAGAGTCCGCCTGCCGATGCAGGGGACACAGGTTTGTGCCCCGGTCCGGGAAGATCCCACATGTCGTGGAGCGGCTGGGCCCGTGAGCCATGGCCGCTGAGCCTGCACGTCCGGAGCCTGTGCTCTGCAACGGGAGAGGCCACAACAGTGAGGGGCCCGCGTACCGCAAAAACACACACACACACACACACACACACACAAGGTGTAAAACAAACACCATGAGTGAGAGTCAGCCGAAGAACAGCATATTCAGACTCTTAAAGACTATATACTGAAATTATCAAAAACGAAGTAGAAAATAAGACTTAAGAAAGATATGACAAATAAATGCAATATATGATCCTTCACTGGATCCTTCACTGCAGGAAAAAAACTATAAATGATATGAGTTGACAAGTGAGAAACACGAACATACCTTTGTATTAAATAATATACTGATATTAAATTTCTTGGGTGTGATAAAGTATTTTTCACACACACAAAAAAAGATTTTGCTGGAAACAGTCCTTATACTTAGAGAATAAAACATTATGTTGTCTGGTCCAAATGATTCAGAGAAAAAAATTACTGCAGAGTTAGAAGGGTAAAAGGAGGGAGAAAGTAACAAGACAAATGTGGTAAAGTGTTAACAACTTGTAAATCCAGATGAAGGGTACCTGGCAGCTCACTATACTATTCTTTCTACTTTTTTTGTATGTTTCAAACTTCTCAAAGTAATTAAGATAGGGAAGCTCCCCAAACAAATTTAAAATAACACATTTTTTAAATTCAAGGGTTGGTTTAATATCAAACAAACATACATGATGAAGAGAAAAAGAGCAAACAGGAGCTTGACTTGGAAATGACTGGCAACAAGTCATTGTTAAATGTTAAAGTATAAGGGAAATCAAGAGGCATGATAAACGGAGCAAGCAGATTAATTGTTCATCTAATCAAAGTACCAAAACAAGAGGAAAGAGAAAATGGGACAGGAGCTGTATAAAGACAATGCCTAAGAGTTTTTCCAGAACTAATCAAAGATGGAACGCCTCAAATTTGGAATTCCCAACAAAGCCCCGAAAGGAAATAAAAAAGATAACTTCACCTAATCACGTCATAGTGAAATTACAGACACGAGATCCTCAAAGCCACCCACAAGAAGAGATCTACAAGTTGAATCTTCCACATCAACAATGGAAGCCAGAAAACATGAGAATAAAGTCTTCAACGAACAAGGGAAAAATAAAAAGCAATCAGCTTAGAACTGTGCACCAGGTAAAGATATTCTTCAAAAATAAGGATGAAAAACAAATTTCCAGGCAAATGAAAACTAAGATTCTATCACTAACAGAGGCTCACTAAGGAAATTTAAAAGTAGGTACTTAAGACAGTATAAAGTTATCCAAGGTAATCTAATTGGCCTAAGCAATGTGAAAAAAGAAAGTGGTACATATGAGGATACATTTTGAGCCACCATCTAGAACAAGTAGTAAGGGAGCTAAAAAATAGAAATAAAATAAACAACAATAGCACCGCTGCACGTATAGTTCTTGTATGGTTTCAAAAGGAGCAAGAAGAGCTGATTAACCGCAGACTTTGATAAGTGCGCCAGTTACAACTCCTAAGGCGTCATTTCTCATCAGCAGCAGCGTGGACAGTTAGGGCCAGATTGTTCCTCGCAGTGGGAGCTGTCTTGTGAATCACAGGATGCTCAACAGCTTCTCTGGCCTCTACCCACGAGGAGCCAGTAGCCCTCGCTGAGATGCGACAACCCAAAATACCCCCCGACATTGCCTAGGTCCCCCCGGAGACAACACTGCCCCACATGAGAACCACTGTGCTAGAGCAACCACTGAAATAACAAACTTCTGGGTTAGGATGAGAGGGCGAGCATCTGCTCCCTCTCTAACCCTACTGAAATAAAAGTATCGAAACAAGCCTAAAAAGACCCGAACCGCCAAGAACAGGGAGAATGCAAGGAGACACAACAGCCACAAAACTCTGGAGGCTGAGAAGCAGATGAACAAACACCTAAATTATCCGCAAAGAAAGCAGAATCTAAACTGGTGGGGGGGATGGGTGCCAGGGAGGGAAGATGAAATGCAACGGGTCTGCAGAGTGAAATCTTCAAACGGCCCAGGAAGTGACAGTATTAGGTCCTCCTGGAACCGAGGGTACTGAACTGAGGACTGAAATCGCCAGACTCCCCCTCCTCATGCCTGGCCACTAGATGTGCACCCCTCCCTTATTCCAGCCCAAGTGTAGGGTTTTACTCCCTATCAAAAGGGATTCTGAGTTGGAAGACAACAGGCACGACTGGGACGCAGGTACCAAACAGAAAGAGGGGAGACTAAGGAACTATGTGCAAACTAAACACCAGGTACCAAGACCCAGGCGGCCCTTACTGTCCAGGCGTTGAGACTTCTGCAGAGACGGGTCAGTCTGAAGGGAAGACCGAATGGTTCCAACACTGGAGACACCCCACACGCAGCTGACCGAGATCGCCATAAAGTCAAGTTCAAAACGCCTTGCAACTGTGAGAAGAAATGATTTCCAACCTAGAATTCTTCACTCAGGCCAACTATCGATTAAATAGGAGGGCAGAATACAGACTTTTTCACACACAAAGTCTCAATGTTACCTCCCATGCACAATCTTTCTCAAGAAGTTACTGGAAGATATGCTCCAGCCACTCTGGAAATACCTATTTTACACAATACCTGCAGAGAGTGAGTGGTGTGAGCTCAGACTCTGACACAGTAATCACTCTCATCTAGTCACTGAAATAGAAAGCTAAGAAGGGTTGTTAAAGTTCCCATGTATACTTCAAATTTCTTTATTCTACAATTTAGCCCTTACCCTAATTCTTCCAAATTATATGATTTTACTTTATTATTGATACACAGAACAACTTATTTTCAAATCTTTCTGGACACACAAATTCAAATCAGTTTCCTAACGTTTTCCTATTATAGTAACACATGAACAATTTCTCACTGTCCTCCCACCTCATTCCTGAATACTAAAAGTACAAGTTACCACCAAAGCAAAGCTATAAATATCCAACTGAAAAACAGGATAAGACGAGGGGTCATTAACTATAAAAAGCTTTCAGATTCTGCTAGATACAGGATGTGTTACCTGATTTCTCCAGCTCCTACCTATAACTGGAGTTCTGTTCTTACTGTACAAGCCAGCCACTCTCTCTAAGAGCAGGTGTCCTGTGCAGGTGCGGGGGCCGCCGTCTACCAAACAGCAGGATTTAACTCCATTCTATCCACCCTACCCAAGCTTCTTGTGCACACCTGAACAGTCCCAAGGACTCTCTCCAGGCCTCGGAGATGAGTGTTTCTCAAAACACCGCTGGCCAATTCACCGCACTACCCTCTGAGAGGTGGGAGGGAGGTGAAACCAAGGCAGGTGGGGAGACAGTATGGACACGTGTTAGAGAAAATAACGATATAGAGTAAACTGTCAGACTTAGAGGGTGGTCCTTTGTTCGCAGCAAAGGAATTATACTTATTTCCCCTACACAGAAATAAAAAGTGATCTTGTATCTCTAACAAAAACTGACAAGTATCTTGCTAGCCCCACCAAACCATAAAGAAAAGTGTCAATTAAATAACTTTGTTTTTATTTGTTTGGCTAAATCATATCACATATTTTCTCTCCTTTTTCTAAAAGATGTCACTCCTTGAGCAAAAACAATGATCGAATTAGTATCTTCTAGCGCATGAGGGAAACTACTGTCACTAGGCAACATTAACCCAGTTCATTCTGGAACTAGTAAGCATGCTACAAGGCTAGCCGCTGTCCACTAGTTAGAGATTAGGAAGCGACAAGCAGTAATATAATAAAACGTGGAAAAAAGATTTAGTATCTTAGAGATTTCAAGGGTTAGAAGCAAACCTATTCACTTCTTTGAGGAACAAAGAGAGAAAAAGCTCGGTAACTCACTGGTTGACCCCCTAACTCCTCATACCTCTTGATCTCCTGGACTCTGGGAATCTCCTTTGCTTATGTTTGTATCTCGAGTCCAACGAGGGGGTTTCCAAGTTCTTTCCTGTGTTCCTCTGTTATAGTAATAACAACGCCCTGAACTATCTTTATGAGTTTCCCATTCTCCATTAATCTGAATTGCTGGGCTTCCAGGGATCGGGGGGAGAGCCGACTGGGATATTTTCAGTTCTTGCAGGTTAGCGTAGACAGGAGAATCTGGCCGCCCTTGATTTGGAGGTGTTGTCGCCTGTGAAAAATGTGAAATATCCATGTTTAAACTGGCATAACGCTTATAAATTAAACATGAGATTTATAAACATAAATACTAATTCATTTTAAAACATATTACAGGTGTATATATTCTTTATAAGGAAATAAGAATAACAGTTTTAATATTCATAGTTTGAAAAAAACATAAGCTTTAAAGAGAATCCAAAGTGTGCCTGGGCTTCCCTGGTGGCGCAGTGGTTGAGAATCTGCCTGTCGATGCAGGGGACACAGGTTCAAGCCCCGGTCCAGGAAGAGCTCACATGCCACAGAGCAACTAAGCCCGTGCGCCACAACTACTGAGCCTATGCCCTAGAGCCCGCGAGCCACAACTACTGAACCCGTGAGCCACAACTACTGAGCCCATGAGCCACAACTACTGAGCCTGCGCTCTAGAGCCCATGAGACACAAATACTGAGCCTGCGTGCCACAACTACTGAAGACCGTGCGCCTAGAGCCCGTGCTCCGCAATAAGAGAAGCTACCGCAATGAGAAGCCCGTGCACCACAACGAAGAGTAGCCCCCGCTCGCTGCAACTAGAGAAAGCCCGCACGCAACAATGAAGACCCGACGTAGCCAAAAATAAATAAATAAATTTTTTTTTTTTTTAAAGTGTGCTTAACTGCTTCCCCTCACCCTGAAAGAACACTCGATTAGAAGTCAGGAGCTATGGGTTTCTGTTCAAGATCTGGCCTAACAAGTTGTAAGACAACAAAAAAGATCACTTCGTATCTCTGAAACTGAACTTTTTAATCTCTGTAAGTGAAGAAACTGGATTAAACCACCTAGGTCCCCATTGGCTCTAAAATTCTATGATTTTAGGCAATTTTTAAAATATAAAAAGTCTTACATATGGGTAACTCAGCATTTATTCAGAAAACTATCAAAAGAAAGATTTCATATCCTAAGCTCTAATATTAAATCAAGAATATAAGTAAAAGACAAAGGAGATACAATACTTCAGGTAAGAATTTACCACATGCTACTTCTCAGCTATAATTTCTCAGTAGCCATAAACAAATCTTTCCTCTCTTCCTAGTCTAGTTATTTGTGAATTTCCTAAGACTGGAAAAACAATTAGTAGTAACTCTGATTTACATGCTTATTCAGTCTCAACCTTCAGTTTTACTTTTTATTTTTAAATGTCTCACTAGATGTCAGTCAAGAGCAGAATACTCTTCATACACTTTGCATAAGGACACTGTAAACTGTATTAAGTTAGAATTATAACTGCTGAAAGAAAAAGTGCATGTCTGAGAATGCCTTTTTAATACTGTGTGTTTGTATTTGTGTATACATCTTTCCTTTTACAAGAGGGTTTCTCAACCTCAGCACCACTAACATTTGGGAAGAGAGAATTCTTTTCGTGGGAGGCTATCCTGGGCATTGTAGAATGTTCACTAGCATCTCCAGCTGCCACCCACTAGATGACAGTGGCTTCCCCTCACTGTGACAATTAGAGTCTCCAGACACTGCCAAATGTCTCATGGGGACAAACTGCCCCTGGTTGAGAACCTTTGCCATATTAGTCCTAGAATTATTCAGATGTTCAATTACTTCTATAATATACCCATAGTTTTATGAACACTTGAAAACACTGAATTAAAAAGGGAAATGTGGGCCATCATCAAAAAATCTACAAACAATAAGTGCTGGAGAGGGTGTGGAGAAAAGGGAACCCTCCTACACTGTTGGTGGGAATGTAAACTGGTTCAGCCACTACAGAGAACAGTATGGAGGTTCCTTAAAAACTAAAAATAGAGTTGCCATATGATCCAGCAATCCCACTCCTGCGCATATACCCAGACAAAACTATAATTCAAAAAGATACATGCACCTCTATGTTCACAGCAGCACTATTCACAAAAGCCAAGACATGGAAACAACCTAAATTCAGCAGAAGAATGGATAAAGAAGATGTGGTACATATACACAATGGAATATCACTCAGCCATGAAAGAGAATGAAATAATGCCACCTGCAGTGACACGGATGGACCTAGAGATTGCCATACTGAGTGAAGTAAGTCAGAGAAAGACAAATATCATATGATATTGCTTATATGTGGAACCTAAAAAAGTGGTACAAATAAACTTATTTACAAAACAGAAATGGAGTCAAAGATGTAGAAAGCAAACTTTTGGTTACCAAGGGGGAAGGGGGAGAGAGGGATAAATTGAGAGATTGGGATTGACATATACACACTACTAGATATAAAATAGATAACTAATAAGAACCTACTGCATAACATCGGGAACTCTACTTAATACTCTGCAATGACCTATATGGGAAAAGAATCTAAAATTAAAGAGTGGATATATGTATATGTATAACTGATTCACTTTGCTGTACAGCAGAAACTAACACAACACTGTAAATCAACTATACTCTAATAAAAATTTTATAAAAGGGAAATGTGGATGGATACACTGAATCAGTTTTATTGAAATTAAAGTACTTTAACTGCTAAATTATTATTTGCCTATAAATTAATTATAATGAATCTAATTCACAGAATAAGCTTTACAAAAGAAAACAGTAGCTGGTGGTGCAGTGGTTAAGAATCCGCCTGCCAATGCAGGGGACACGGGGTCAAGCCCTGGTCCGGGAAGATCCCACATGCTGCAGAGCAACTAAGCCCGTGAGCCACAACTACTGAGCCTGCGCTCTAGAGCCCGCAAGCCACAACTACTGAGCCCACGAGCCACAACTACTGAAGCCCGTAGGCCTAGAGCTCGTGCTCTGCAACAAGAGAAGCCACTGCAATGAGAAGCCCGTGCACTGCAACGAAGAGTAGCCCCTGCTCGCCGCAACTAGAGAAAGCCCGCGTGCAGCAACAAAGACCCAACGCAGCCAAAAATAGAAAAAGTAAAATGAAAGAAAATAGTAAAACTAACCTGAGACCTGAATACATTTATAAAACGGTTACCTTTGGTCTTTTTAAACATGGTACTTATGCAAATATTGTACTCAGTGATACAAATTAGACAATTTTCCTATAAATGTTAGCTTTGAATTTAGACTATCACCAAACAGCATTCTTCTGTGAAGAAAATCTATCCATGAAGACAGATTTCCATGTGTTTCTCTTCCAGACTAATTCCATATCCTGATGACTTAGCTGGATAACTGTGCTTCTCTGACTAAAACCAACCCTGTTAGTATAACAAGCAATTCTATATAGTAAATCATTTCCCAGGACCTTATCTAGAAAATTCAACAAGTGTTAAAGCTCTTTGCTCCTGATACTTCACTAGACTTGGGGAAATAAAGATGCCAAGAAACAGCAACTTTCTAAACAATGTTAGAGACACATTGTACTACAGCTTTAAGAAATAACTAATTCCTGTTGTTTAAACAATTCAAATTTAAACAGTTTTCCCAATTAAAAAAAACTGAAATGCCTTAAGAAAGTTTATAAGGCTAGCATAATTCTGAAACAAAAGCAGAGAATTAAATGAAAGAAAAGTACAAACCAATGTCACTTATAAACGAAAATATACTAAATAAAACATTAGCACTCAAATCTAGCACTGCATTAAATTAATCAGGAAAAAGCGGAAATATTAAGGGAGTCTGTCTTCTGGAAATCTATTACTGTAATTCTTTACACTAACAGATTAACTCGATCATCTCCACAGACACAAACAAAACTACTGATAAAATTCAACATGGTTTCAGGATAAATCTCTTAGCAAGTGAGGAACAGGTGATGCCTCCTTAATTTGATTTTTTAAATTATTATTCAAAACAAACATCATACTCAGCAAGAAACTGAGAGAAGCATTTTCATTAAAGTCAAGAATAATTCCAGGGGGAGTTCCCTGGCAGTCCAGTGGTTAGGACTTGGTGCTTTCACTGCCAGGGCCTGGGTTCAATCCCTGGTCAGGGAACTAAGATCCCGCAAGCCACGCAGCCCAGCCGAAAAAAGAAAAATCCCAGCATGCCAAGTATCACGGCTTTTACTCAACAAATGTACAATACTAAGATATGAAATGTACTGAGACACGATAAATGAATTAACGCATAAATACCCAGTAGGAAAACAACCCTGATATTTGTCACTGACATAATGAATATTTGAAAATCTAAGTCCATGAAAACTACTAAGAAGTTTAATAAGTTGGCCAGATAAAAAGATCATTTAATCAGTTTCCGATACATGAGCAATGACAAGTTAGGAACTGTAACAGAATTTTTAAAATCTCATTCATACTAAGAACTGTTAAAACACAGTTAATAAGCCTAACAAAAAGCTTTAAAAAAAATAATCTTAAAAAAAAATGAGGAATACTTCTAGATAAACTGTTGTTCCTTAATTTTGTAAATGCGTTCCTTCTCAAAAAATTAATCTATACATTCTACAAATTCAATGCAATGTTTGGCACACAGTATAGTTAGTTCACAGCCTTGCATACAGTAGCACTGAAGGAAATTTGTTGAATGAACAAACAAGTGAACAAAAGAATGCCAACATATATACCCAAGTAAAAGCAAAACTGAAGGACTTGGAAACAGTTACATGTGAAAAAGAGAGGAAACTAGGAAATCATTCACATTTCTAGTTTGGGAACAAGGATGGACAACTGTGTCACCATTTAAGACAGGACTAAAAGTGGACTAAGCATCAAACCCTCAGCAGTGCTAAGGTTATGAATATGATTAAAAAATTAGTCTTCGTCTTCTAGGACCTCATAATGTAGTAAAAGAACGTGAAACAAAGGTCATTTAAATGCATAACAGACCTCTTGCTAGAGCTACACATGGGACAGTGTAGGAGCAAAATCGAAGAGGCTTGGAACCAAGGGAATAAGCCTCAGAAATGAATACATCAGAATTAGCCAGGTCAAAGCAGGGTACACAGGAGGCAGAAGAACAAACGTCTGAAAAAAAAGCACGGTGCATTTAGGGAAGGATGCCGACTCAGAGGGCAGGTGAGAGGAGAGGCACGAGAAAGATGTAAAGAGAAGCAAATGCCAG